CAACCTGAGGCTTTTCTTTAATTATAAATAGACAGCCATTTCCTCCACAGCACTGTTCTTACTACAGTCCATCTAGTCTACCTTAAATCGTATTTTCAGTTTATTTGTAGTCTCCAAGTGCTCTCTAAGTTCTTTCAAATTAAAAATAATATTTATTATTGTTGTTGTATATGACGTGCACATGTGGAGGCCAGAGGACAATATTTAGAAGTTGGCTCTCTTTCTACTGTCTGTAACTCAGGTAGTCAGGCTCCCTTGGCTTGAAAATGCTTTCACCTGCTGAGCCACCCACCTTGTGACTTTTTCTTATTTTATTTTTGACACACTGATTGCTTACGAGGATGCCAGATTTTTATGCAATTGTTAATTTTTCAGTTTTCCTTCCGTTGCTGACTTCTGATTTCATTTGATAGTGGTTGTGTTGGATTTCAATCTAATTAAAGTCTTGTGCTGATACAAGGATGTACCTTACAGAACAGCTGATGTGGACTTGAGAAGCAAGTGCTGTTATGTGACAACTTTCCCATGTCTCTTTGGCTCCTTCACGGTAGCATTTGTTCAGACACCTGCCCAAATCCCCACCCTCTGCTTTTCTGACTAAATATTCTTATCTAGTAAAAGTTGCTTAACGAAGTCCTGGGAAGTTTTTGCCAAAGTGAACTGCAGTGAGGGAATCTATGACGCACTTGAACTAGTCCTCAGAAGCTGTACAGGAGTTAGACAGGTAGTGGGAATCACTGCCGCTGAAAGGAATGGGATGCCCTAAACTGAAGACAGCTGACTAAAGCAAAGGCCCCAGGGTGGATGCACAGGGTGGAGCGAGATTAATAACTGGGTAGAGGGATGGGTGCTGTTTCAGAGGAAGAAGATAAGAGAGAAGCTGCAATTTACACATGATAATTATGCTGCCTGCTCTCAGACTAAGAAAACTTACCCCCAATACGTGAACTAATAATGATGATAAAATAATGAAAAGAATTGCCAAAATACAGATAAATAACTGTGCCAATCAACGGGGTTACTGTTGGGACAGGCAGTAATGTGATGGTTTGAATAAGAATGACCTTCATATGTTAATATATTTGAACACTTTGTTACTAGGAAATGCTACTATTTGAGCAGGATTAGGCCTAGTTGGAGGAAATGTGTCCCTGGGGGTGGACTTTGAGGTTTCAAAAACCTAGCAAGGCCCAGCCTTTCTCTCCCTTTCTGGCTCCCCATCTCTCCTTCCCTCTCTCCCTCTCCTCCTCTCCTTTGTAGAGAGCAGGAGTACTCACAGAAAAGCACTGGAGAAACCAGAAATTGTAATCACACAGGGCTGTGTCCTCAGTGGAGAAAATGTACACCTTTTTCCTGGAGGCTGGGAGTGGATGTTGTTAATGACCTGGTGACCTTTGCTATCTTCAGGATCAGGTCTCAACAAAATCCTCCAGGGTGTTATCTCAGACTCTCCTTCCCTAGACCTTTAGCTTTGTTTCTTGGTCAATAGAATCTACCCTTAGGGGAAATGTCACACGTATTTTATAGCCTGCAGACATCTACGCTAACTCAGTCAGAGTCCGTACCAGACCCTATGCCCATAAGTATAGGACCCACCTTCTTAGTAGAAGACCTCACAAGCCCTTTGCAAAGGAGTTTCCAGGTAGTCATTCATGCCTTACGCTTTACTGTGTACATGGTATTGGGATAATTGTCACGAAAACTTTTTTTCCCCTAAAATTGTACTGTACTTAAATATGTCTAAAATAAACTGCCTGGTATCAGATTGTAGAAGTTTGAGCCAGTCCGGCAAACTAAGGCATGTTGAACAACGTTTTCTTTTCCCCTCATGCATTTTTTTTTTCTATGCTGGCAATAGAATTTGTATAATCTCTTTCTCCATCAGGATGTAGCTCTCAGCCACTGCTCCAATGCTGTGTGTGCCACCATGCTCCCCACCATAATGGTAAAGGACTATAAGCCTCTAAAACTGTGAGCAAGTCCCCAGTTAAACTGCTTTCTCTTATAAGAGAGCAGTTGCTGTGATCATGATGTCTCTTCACAGAAATAAAATGGTGACTAAGAAAGGTACCAAATCTGAAAAGGAGGAAAAAATAAAAGACAAGAGGAGATTAATTATGCCATATCAGGAAGACAGCTATGTTTGATTGTAGCAGCAGTGAAACAATTCAACATACGGTATATATTTTTTCCCTTGGTATAGGTCCTAAGGCTCCAGGGGGCTTGGGAAATACAGAACTCATATATGACAATATACCTTGATTTCAGTGCATCATTATTATTATTATTTGTATCTCTGTGTGTGCGCACACATGCATGGCCATGCTCCTGCATGCACACAATGGGGAACATGTGGGAGTCAGGTCTTTCCTTACACCATGTGAGTCATGGGGACTGAATGCAAGTCATCACTCCTGGAAGCAAATGCCTTTACTAGCTAAGCCATGTTGCCATTCCTTTTTCTTTTCTTTTTTTTTTTTAAATTCTTTATTAATTACACTTCTTTTTTTTTTTTTTGTTTTTTTAAATTAAGCTTTTAACCAACTGGTATAGAAAATCCCTTCCATGACATACTTTGCATTCATTTCTATTATGAAGGGTAACCAAGAGCCAACACACCTAAGTCTGAAGTAGTGAGGGATCCTTCAACTGAATTTAACGTAAACGGCTCTCTCTATTAGCATTAATTACTATCCCATGGATGTCACTCATTCAGTGCCTAGGATGTTTGAAAAGAAGATCCTTCCTGCCTGGATAGACCAAGAAGAACAGCACCTCCACAGGCAATGGAGCTCAACTCAATGCCAGGGATGCTTGGAAACATTTCAAAAAATTTTCACCTTATGTCAGGCAACTTCCATCTTATTAACTTCAAGTTTTATCAGTCCTATGTCAATAATCAAAAAAGCTGGTTTTACCTTGCCAGGGACATGTGATCTACTTCTGGAAGAATCAGCAGTTTATTTATGTTTCTTAACTTTCATAAGCACTCAATATCAATTAAACGCAAAGAACTTCTAACCCATTAACAGCAGATGCTCTTTTTAAATTATTTTTTTATTTTCTGTTTTTTTTTTTTGAGACAGGATTTCTCTGTGCAGCCTTGGCTGTCCTGGACTTTGTAGACCAGGCTGGCCTCAAACTTACATATATCTGCCTGCCTCTGCCTCTGCCTCCTTGAGTGCTGGGATTACAGGCATGTGTCACTGAGCCTGGCAATAGCAGATAATCTTGCGTATAGCACAATCTAATTAATCTCTAATTCTCATAATTTACAAGGCAGAAGATAGAGTATTTTTCTTTATAGTTGTGTGTTGTCTTTGTTTGTATGACCCAGTGGTGAACTGAGGCCCAGTTAGCTAGCTGTACAATAACATCATTAAGATAGTGAATTTGAAGTTCGCTTTACGGTTACTTTAGTAACTTTAGATAATTTACTCTTTTTGCCCAATTTTCTAAATATGTAAATGACAGACCAAAGAATTAAAAATTAGTGGGTATTGTTTTAAAGTTTAAAGCACAAGCCTGAATGAAGGAGAGCCAGGTGGAGACTCGTCCAGCCACCTGTGGGGAAGAACCAGCCTTACTGCATTCTTTTCCAGCCCACTAGAGATACAGTTGCTAGGAAACCAGCCCCTCTCCCCTAGGGCAGCCAAACAAGGGAAGCCAGACCATTAATGGTTTGGGGGCCTTCCTATAGCCAATCAGTTCAAAATGCAACTTCCCTATCGTGTTTAAACCAATAGATGCTTGCCAGGCAGGAATCCCCCTGCTGTGGGGATGCTGGAAGAGGCTGGACTCTTTAAATCACCCAACTAACCTGAGCATGAGGCTCTTGGCTCTTACCATTTCTGTGGTGAGGGTGTGTGAGCCCAAGATGTAGCTCGTAATGAAAAGATCCTCATGTGTTTTGCAATGGACTCGACTCCTGGTGGTCTTTTGGGGTCAGGAGAATTGGGCACAACATAAAGCGATCCTGTGAAATAGCTTGTGGCGAAGCGGGTCAAAAGAAAAAAGCAGATTTTGAAGATCACCCTTGACTGCACCCATCCTGTGGAAGAGGGAATCATGGATGCTGCCAATTTTGAGCAGTTCCTCCAGGAGAGAATCAAGGTGAACAGGAAAGCTGTGAAACTTGGCAGAGGGGTTGTGACCATCGAATGGAGCAAGAGCATGGTCACTGTCACTTCTGAGTGACTTTCTCCAAAAGGTTATTTGAAACAGCTCACCAAAAAGTATGTGAAGAAGAACAATCTCTTAGACTCACTTGGGTGTTGTCACCGACAGCAAAGAGAGTTATGAGTTGCGTTACTTCGAGATTAATCAGGATGAGGAGGAAGATTAAGACCCGTTGGTCTGTAATGTCTTGCATTAGTTCATAAATAAAATTTAGGGCCAACTATTAAAAAAAAAAAAAAAAAGAATACTTGAAATGTAAGAGTTTAGCGGTATCTGTCAGTCACTTTCCATTAGCATTCTTGCTGGGGCCATAACCAACCTCTGTATTGTCTATGTAAAAATTACTGCTCTCGTCTTAACGGGAAAAAGTTTTTTTCTGGAGCCACTTCGAAAGGCCATGGTCTGGAAACACAGATTTAGGTTACCGTCAATTGCATATTCCAACATGGAAGCAATTTCATTAAGTTTTTAATCGTTTTACCAAACAAACCGCGCTTACGAAAGGCTACGACTTTGGAATCGAGGGGTGGCGGTTCCTGAAGCTCAGGCATTACCTGAGGGAAGAGGGGTCGTGACATTGCTTGGCAGACACCACGAAAACCACCTACGCGCACCTCCACCCAGGAGTTCGGGGAAGTCGAACCGGGAGGCGAGGGCGGGCACAGGGCACGTGCGCGACGTTCCCGGGAGCAGCCTGGGGAGGCTGCGCGTTCCCGGGGAAGCGGAGCGAGGCGCGCGCGCGCGTTCCTAGAAGGCCAGGGCGCCTGCGCGTGGTCGGCGAGGCGGGCAGGGCGCCTGCGCGCCGCCGGGGAGAAGGGCGGAGCCCCTCGGCGGTGGGCGGGGCCGGCCGGAGTTGGTTGCTAGGCTCGGGGAGCGGCAGCGTTCGGATTCTGGCGTCCTCTGCTTCCGCCATAGCCGGAGTGCGGAGCCCAGCGGCTCTCAGGTGCGCGCTGCTGCAGCGAGGCGGAGATGGACCTGAGTCAGGCGGCGTCTGGGACCGACGGCGCCCGGGAGCGGAGGGGCTCGAGGGGAGCTGGGAGGAAGCAGAGCCAAGATGAGCGACCGCAGTCCGGGACGAACGGGCTTCCGAAACACTCCTACTGGCTGGATCTCTGGCTCTTCATCCTCTTCGACCTGGTGTTGTTCCTCATCGTGTACCTCTTGCCCTGGTGAGTGTCTCGAGTGCTCACGGGCTGGGCGACTGCTCAAGGTTTCTCGGGGAGGCGGCCCAGTTGGGTCAAAGAGCCAAAATGGACTTCCCTGTCACTGCACTGTCAAGAGGGGTGTGGAAGAAACTTGGCTTCTCGTTTTTGCTGTGTCTTGAGGGCCTGCACCCCCAGGAAGGAACGGAAGTTAACTTTTATAAACTTTTATCTATAATTAGAATCCACAGTAAGTAAATAGGAGCGTGTGGCAGATTACGTGTGACTATATCTAAAAGTGATTTGGGCATTAGGTACGGGCTTAAAGTATGTTTAGCAAAAAGTAGGCCATAAACTTAACATGTCCCAACGTTGTCATACAGCCTATGCAGATATGTTTACTATCGTCGGGTCATGTTTTCGATGTTGTAGCAAATTGGGAGGCAGAGAAAGGGTTGGATGGGGAGGATGATAGGTTGCTGAAAGGATAAGATTTTTTTTTT